GCGTCACACTGTCACCATCAGGCGTGCATGTGAGTCCAGTGGCAGAAGGCAGCGCAGAGCAACTAAAGCTAACCCTAACCCCCCAAACTTGTTTTATCACCTGAAACACTGACATAAACCAGAGTACGAGGAAAGCCAGAAAATGCAGACCAAGGCAACAAAGTTGGCTACATGCAAGTAGGGCTGCCATGATTAGTCGATTAGTCACGATTACGTCAACTATTTTAATTTAATAGTCGATGCATCGTTTTTTTGTTATTTTAACTTTTTTTTTCTCTCCAAACTGCTGCGGCATCTTCCACATCCGCGTCTGCCTTTCTGTCCTTGACACGCATGCGTAGTAGTGGTTAGGCAGCGCGCACGCATGCGCAGTAGTGGGTAGGCCATGAGCGGACGCGTTTACACAGATAGACTTGGATCATGGCTACCCAACAACGGAGTTCAAAAGTGTGGGATCATTTTAAGAAAACGACAGAGAAGTGTGTTCAATGAAATATCTGCAAGGTGGAACTTGCCTTCCACAGCAGCACAACTGCGATGCACGAGCACGAAAAGGAAGCATGTTGTGGCTGATGAAGACGGACCGTCATCTCGGTAAGCTAAATTGCTAGTTAGCTGCTAAAATAAGCGTAAACAGAGAGTTAACTGGCTACTTACTCATATTGATAGCTGTAAAAGTTAACATTAGCGACGACGATTTGATTCATTAGCCTTAGCACACATGTTTCATGTGTTTTCTGTAACGTTATAACAGTGATGTGTTAGAAAAGGAATGCTAATGTTTTCTAATGTTACGTTTCAGTGCTAAAAAAGTACACTAGTCTTCTTCAATGGACGGCTTTGTTATAAAGCCAGCTACACGCACACCTCAACAAGCCCATGTCCTGACTGAGTCCATTCTGAAGACGCTGGGGACGGACATGAGACCACTATCCATGGTAAACGATGAAGGATTTAAAGACATGATTAAACATTTCAACCCAGATTATCATGACAACTAACCTACCAGGCAGATCTCACTTCACCACACTGACGGAGAAGAAATTTTGTGCAACTTTTGAAAAAGTTAATCTCTCTTTCTTTCTGTTTCAATTTGATTTTTGGCATGAAAGTATTAAAACAATATTGGTAAATCAACAATAACACAGTAAAATAAATGATTTAATAAACAAGCAACATTTAAAGACATAAGAATTAAAATATCAAAGATCTCACTCACTCACTCACTCACTCACTCACTCACTCACTCACTCACTCACTCACTCACTCACTCACTCACTCACTCACTCACTCACTAGCAACTAAGAATTTTACAAATTTCATGATGAAATAATATTAAGAGCTTGCTGACTGAGTAACAATAAATTAATCCTGGGTAAGGTATTTAATAATATTTTTTAAACATATGTTTAATGTTTGTTATCCTACTTAACTATATCTGGTAACTGAATTATTGAATTGGTAAATACATTTAAGGCTATATACATAAACTGACAGATGCTGTTAACAAAAAAAAAACTATAATTTTCTTCATAATGTTTACTATTCTTACAAATCATCTCATGTCTTTCAGGTAAAGGAGACTCTCAGGGGTGTCAAGGGTTCCCTCACGCTGACTGCTGATGTGTGAACCAGTCGTGCAACAGAGCACAACCTTGGTGAAGGCCAGAAA